TCTTACCCATTTTAAATAGTCTCTTGACCTACAGTCGTGATTATTGAATGGCACTGCAGGGAAACTGAGGTGCTACCACTAAAAGGAAAGAAGCAAAGCAAAATAGATCAAAGAGGTGTCCTTGTTTTCCGCTGTCCTTGTAGATAGCTTTCCCTTCTTGTAATTGATTGATATCACTGAGAAAAAAACAAACAAACAAAAAACCACCTAAAACTTCGATGCAAATTTAAAGTGAAATTCAGTGTGAATTCAGTGAAGGTTTTCTTCCTCTAACCAGAGACCAGAACTACGAAAGGTTATTTTGGGTCAAGTAAAGCTTAGGAGCTTTATTTGCCTCTCCCCAGCAAAGTCAATAGGATCTGTGCTTTGCTGTGATCAAGCTTATTTACTTGACAGTTTAGAATAAACCTAAAATCAATATCTTTATTGTGTCATGTGGAAATGTATATATGTGCTAGATAAAGCCTTGCAGTTACAGCAATGGGAGAGACATAAATATAGTGCTTTAAACTTCTGGGGAATTGATTTTAGGAATAATGTGTTTTATATAGCAGAGGCACTACAGATAACAGAGAGACTCAACTAATGGACCATGCACTAAAAAATAAAATGGTGCCTTCCTTAAATCATGAAAAAGTGAGTATCATGATTCTTCTAGATGCAGCTTCAATGAGACAAGCACAGTATTTGAGTAGTAGAGGTTGCTATCTGACCACTTAAAGTAATCATCTCGCTCGCCATAAAGATCACCTAATACTCTTGGAACTACACCATGACTGTATCTGATCTTCTATTCATTCAGCCTGTGATAAAACTACTCCATGGTTACAGCACACTTTTAGCCTCATTTTGAACAGCTTCTTTTTAATTCACAACTTCTAAGAATACAGTAACATTTTGACAGTGGCACATTTTCTCAAGACTTAGAGCTACCCAAGGGTAACGAAACTTAAAGGTCAACTTTCTCTCTCACTGTGAATTCAAATTTCAGCTGTAACCAATTAACATTTAGTTTTTCTGGCTGATTCCAAGTCTTGCAAGACATTGCTACCTTAGCCAGAATTATTTTGCCCAACAACAAAAATGGAACAATTTTCAGGGTGTATGCAAGCTGTGGGAGACTTTTTTTTTAATCACTGTGGGACATTTTCTTTAACACCTGTCTGTCAGACTCAGCATTCGCCAGGAGAGAAAAGTGTAGCATCAAGTGCTCTGTGTGTGGCTGCGCTCTGCAATTTGGTGGCTTCTCTGGAGCAGAAAGAAGTCAGTTCCTGGCTCACAGAACTCAAGCTGCATTTGCTCTGTAGCAAGGTACTGATCATAAGCTGACTCTCAAGCCCTAATTTGTGGGTTACATTTCACGTACCCTTATATGACCCTGACAGAAAAATGGATAGGGAAAAATCCCTATCCATCCTTTCTTCTCCAAGATCTCCTGAGAAGAGAGGAGCCTGTAACAGGAGTGCATTCAGGTCCCTTCTGGAAGAGAGAAAGGAAAATAAATGAACACATCTGAATCATACTTGTTTAGCCCATGTTCATACATGAACACAGTTGTTTAGCTTATGGTATGCTTCAATATTTTCATGGCATCTCTACCAAAGGAAGCTATATCATAAAGCAGGAGAAAGTTTGTAATGAAAACAGTGTATGGAAATATATGTGAACTATCTCTGTGTAAACATGCTCTAAATTCATAGTGCAAAGACTAGAGAAAGAGGAGTAGAAGGCTTTATGTGTTATGAGTTTCAAGCAAAGACGTGGGAAGAAATAAAGCTACTTAAGATTCTCCTGTTAGCTAACAGCCAGTTCAATTTGCCATGCTGCACACACTTACCAAGAGTGGGAGGGACAAAAGTTGCTAGAACAGCCAGTGGTGCAAGCAGGGGTTAGGGGGACCTGGCAGCGTAAGGACTGCTGCAAGGCATAGTCAGAAAGATAAGATGTAACCGAAGGAAAAAGAATAAACCAGCTGACCAACTTGAATTAGGCCTTGCTATGCAATGAGATGTGAAAGTCTTCACCAGCCAGTGAAAGTACTACAGGACAGAAAAACTTCTCCCTGAAGAAATCTGTGAATCATTATTTGCATAGATAAACCAGGTTGCTAGCTGGGGCCAACCCACCACAGGAAACCAACACAGTTAACTTTGGCAATGTAACTACTAGATGGCTGAAGTGTGGAGGACTAGCAGCCAAAACATGCTGTACAAAAGCTTTACCATAACTCAACAGCAGCTATTGCTGAATTCTTTTGTCCACAAAGCAATTATGGGGCCCAGTATGCTGGCAAAGTGTATTAGCTAACTATGCAAACCATAAGCAGTTTAGAAGCTTAGACGTGATGAAAATTAACCAGTGGCAACTCTCATTATCACATTCTGTTCGTGATGCAAGGGAAATAGCTAATTATATTGCAAGTATCTTCAAAATAAAAGTGAGTGACCTGAAAATGGAAATTATAACCTTGCAAACTGTGATGATATAATTAAAGAAAAGACTGGCTCAGCCAGACTATTGATAATTAACAACTGAAAGTGGAAACACATTCAGTTGTCTGCAGATGGACTTTTAGCTACAAAAAAAAATGAAATCCAATTGAAGGTCAAAATCTTGAGACAAAGATCAGGATGGCAGGGACACGTTTACATTCTAGACCTGTCAAAAGCCTTTTAACAGGCTTTTTTGTTATTTAAACATCCACTGCATAATATTTTCAGTTTTCCACCTTTCCCAAATAGGTTTTTTATTTAATTCAAGGGAGCAGGGGAAGGGTTGATGAAGGAGTTGTAATAACGGTTATATCATATATAACTGTTCATTAGATGCCTTGGACTCCTTCTTCTGGTAAAAATAATTATAGCAAATATGAATGATCCCACAGCGTATCAAACACGTGCGTACTGCATTGAACAAAACTCAATTCTCCCAAATTAACAGGCAAAACCCCCAACAAACCAAACAAACATCAACAAAAAAGTGCAACCACTAAACCCAAAGAATAAAGAAAATAGAGACCAAAATACATTATGCTCTAGGACACATAGCAATTTTAGTAAATTTTAAGAGAAATAACAGATAAATATTATAAATATACAAATGATAAAAAATACTTTTTAAAATTACAGAGCTAAACCAGAATTTCCATAAACTAAGAAATCTTTTCAGAAGATCAGTGTATAGCTAATCCTTGAGGTTAGGCTTTTGTCTGGGCAGTACTCCTTTCCTATCTCCAGGCTAGCCTCTTCTGCCAAAAATAGGACTGTCTAATCTGAGGTCCCAGATCTGAGGTCCCAGACCAGATTGGCTCTTTGGAGGCCAGGACAACTTCGAGAGGTCCTAAACTACATGTTACTCACTGAACTTCAGTTAGTCAGCAATTGCTTAAAGCGCAAGGAAGACAGAATGTGGAAACAGTACATGAAGTTAAGTAAATCACTGAAAAGTGAGTATTTCTCTGCAAATATTCTCTAGATTTGTTCTTCTGTAGGTAGTACAAAATGGGAAAACTGCAATGTTTTTTCTGGATTTTCAGTAAGATCTCAATCTTGGATGTTCTACATCACAACCCCGGTCTCCAATACTAGACCTAAAAGGAAACACACTAGTTCACAGGCATAGCTTTCCTCAGCAGAGGAGGCACTACAGGTGGAATGCCCTAATCTCTCCACAGAATTGCTGTATTCATGTCAACCACAGTTTATGGGCAACAGTCTGCACAAGCAAAATTCAAAGATTTAAACTGTAAGAAAAGAGACCATAATCATTACCTGTTGGCACATGCAGTTTAAAAGTCTTGGTATTCTCTACATTTTGCAAACATTTAGAGAGCAAGAAGAAACTTCTTTATTAAAAATGTGAAAACTGCAATATCTTCTAGCGATGTATTGGAAGGTGAAATAGAGGGGTTTTTTAACTTGATTTGTCTCAGTCATTTATTTTGTGATATCCAGTGGGAAAGTCACTGAACTAGGCATGCTTTTTATTTTCCTTTGAAACCATTTTCATTCCATAGAATTTCTTCCAGTTCCCATTTAAGATTCAAAAGATCCCTTGCTACTGGCAAGGATGTAAAAAATATAATGTCTCCAAAGACAATTTTTATTCAAGTGGTTGCAAAACTACTGGCTCTCCATGGATTTTCACAAAGAATATTTTCCATACAACTAATCTACAGTATCTGACCTGAACAGCCCTAGCAATATCAGGGAAAATTTCATTCTTTTCTTATCAAGTTTCAAGAGCTATTAGAGCTGACAGCAAATATGCAACTGTGTTCCCTCTATCACTCTTAGAGATTTCAGGAAAAAAATCTGTTCAATTTGTATTCATACATAAATACAAACCTGATCCCAAACCAACTAGAATGTGAATTAGCAGAGTGACCTGAGTACTGTTACTAAGAAAGGAACACTGGGAAAACAGAATGTGTTTTGGAAAGTATCTGCTCTTTTACACCTGCTTTCTAAAACTCTTTGAAACTTTATCAAAATATCATTAAATGTCACATTCCTAAAGGCAACATGTATAATAGAGAAAGCTGGGTAAAGAAAAAAACAAACAGAAAAAAATTATTCTCTAGAAGACAATGTATATGGCTCATATTGGGTTATAGAAAATTATATCTGTACTTTCTTCTTACTCCCAGCAGAAATTAGTCCCTTATTTAGGTTGTGAGAATTGACTAAGGGAAAACTGAAGTTGTTAAGAGAAAAAAATAAACGCTTAACTTAAAAACTTATATAAAGACTAAAAAATATAGCCATGTCTTTCATTAAACTGTGTATTCACTTGAGTTAATATGCTTAAGAAAAGATGGTTTGATGCGTTAAGGGAAAAGTTTTTTATTAGATATGGCTAAGTTAATACAATAGTAATTTTAATATAGTGAAGCATCTTTATTTGCACTGTGCTGTTTACATTAAATCTGTTCCTACTCAGCTTTATTAGTTTAAAATTTACTGATTCAAGAAGACTTCACTGTAAGTGAAAAGTTGCTATGAAAGTCTTCAGAAAAGGGAATTCATGAACAATATTTGTGCTTTCAAGAAAAGGTTGGAATATTTTAAGAGATATTTTAGTTACAATTAACTTTATCATCATGTAAAATATTGTCTATATGTTTTTCCCCTGTAAATTTTCTGTAAGAAAAAACTGAGTATTCAACATCAGGTTTTGACTGAAGAGTCTCTGATTGCCTTTCTTTCCACATTTTTGGTAGGTCTTAGGAATCTCATCAAATATAAATTGTAGTTACCCTAAAAAAGTGAGGCAACTGATACCATTTTGTATTCTGTAAGACTTTGGTCCTTGGCTAACTACTTGTGCCTTTTTTCTCTCTTCAGATGTATTTATTTCTTCTGTGTGTTGCTTTTATTACATTGTTGGTTCACATGGAGAACTGTAAACTTCACCACATTCATCATTATTTTCCAGACCAATTCAACCTTCCCAACTTGCCATAACAGTTACAATTGTATCCTTTCTCAATAGCCCAGCATATTTTTTTATAAGAAAAAATGTAACTGTTAAAGGTATCTAACCTGAGATAAAAGTGTAGGGGTGAGAGGACAGTATGTAAATTTTAGCGCAAATTATTCAAAAGAGTTTTAATCTCTAAAGTTTAACTTCATAACTGAAACTCCATTGTTGTTAATAATTTTTAAATTCAAGTATAAAATGCAAACCTTTATTAAAAATTATATTTTTGATAAAATGTCCCTGTTTTCCCTTTTCCCTTCTTTTTTTTTTCGGTCTGAGGCAGAATAAGGCTGAAATCTAAACCATTACACTGTGTCCATTTCACAAATGTGTATGGCAGTCAGGTAGCTCATACAGGTAATCTCTCACTTGTTTAAATCCTACAAAAAATGTAACGTCTTCTTATTCCTCTAAAGAATGAATCAGATGAATAACTGTACATACATGACAACGTCTGAACCCTGCCTCCTGTATCCTCTATTACATGACCTAACCCTAAGGTGCCTGCAGCCCAAGCATACAATGGCAGTCCATGCCCTGCCTCAAAGCCTCAGCACCAACAATTTCAGTGTCTGGGATACAGAGCATCAGTGCTGAAAGTCAAAGATTACTTTATTTCAGATATACATTTGCATGGGGAAAAAAAATGTAATTCAGAGCTGCAAGAAAGGGGCTGTCTGTGCATTATATGTCTTATAGTGCTCTGAAAATTGAACTGAGATGCATCTGAGCTACAGCAGTAATTCTTTAAATACCTCAAGTTTCTATAAAGTTCTAATATCAATTTAAACCTTGGAAAACTGGGAAGGTATCAGAAAAGGGTGAATGTGGATACATTAGACAGACTGTCAAACTTCTTGAATGTGCAAAAAGACAGAATAAATTCATCTGTGAAGAAATGCGGGGTAATATTCTTGAGGTAGGGAAAATAATCTCAAACTTTGACACAGTAGGAAAGAAGCATGCAGAAGCTTGTCAAAAGACAAAAAACAGGCAAAAATTAAACTTCCATCATTACTTGACTTTAGAAAAGGTTAAAATCAATGCTGATTTATATAGAGAGGTCATATCTCAGGTACAACTGTGAAAAGATGACTTGTACCATGAAGCAATTGGGACAAAGCCCAATGCTGATTTAGACATCCAGATGACAGACTCTGATTCAGTCAGCTATTGCACCCTGAGGCACAGATGCACTGTGTTTCATTGCCCAAGTGACAAACATGGTTTGTGTTTTCACCTTCCAAACCTAAGGCAAAAATGAGGATGGCAGTGCTGTGGTTGTAGATATCTGCCTGATCTGTAAGAACCTATGCTGACCAAGGTGGCTGGGAGACGGCTGAACCTTGGAGCAGGATTCAGTACCACCAGGTTCAGCTTGGGCACCACTAGTGGGTATCAAGGCAGATCAGACCTGCTGTATCACAGTGCAGGGCACTGCCAACTCTCAAAAAATGTTTCTGAAAGAGGAGGTACAACTGGATGGCAACCCCCCCACATTAGAGATAAGTCCCAGCCATGTCCCCAGGCTTCAGCAGTGTTGCCATCCACCTTAGCAGTGTCAGTGGTTGTTTCCCTCACCCTTTTATGGCAAGAAGCCTCCATTTAGTAAAATATTGTAACTCATGTGTTTTCATACTTCTCCATGGTTTGCTGATGGCCATCTGTCGACACTTTCTTGCCTCATGATCAGCTGCCCCTTCCTTGTCATGTTGAAAGGACTGCAGAGCATAAAGTCCCACTGTGTTGTTTCAGCTGCCATTCTGTTCATTCTGCCCAGTTCTTGGCTGGCAGAACCAAAGGATTTGACCCATGAGCCAGAAACCATATTTTGAGATAAGCATCACAAGGATGGGGGAATGTTGGGGGGATCCCTTTGCTCATGGCTGTGGAAGCTTGCAGCTGCCCATAAGATGGATGTGGCCTGGTGCTATATGTTTCCTCAGCCTTAGCCTTTACAGAAAGCTTTAAAGTGCTCTGGGTGAGGGACTATGGAGGGAGAAGACTGAGCTGTGCTCTGGTCTGCATTCCACTTACATATTCTTCTCTCTGGCTGCAGTTGTACAGCTTTTTCTGCCCCTTTTTAAAAATTTTATTC